AGGCAGAAAGGCAACTGAGTGAGTCAGCGAACCGAAAGAGTAGAGTATAGTGTAGTCTTAAATGTACATGTATATATATAGGGAAATGAATGGATCATCGAATCAATTAAGCAGTTAATAATAAATCTAGCAGAATGAATATATGCGTAGGCGATAAGCAATGTTCAAGTATACATATTTCATACAAGCACAACAAAAACAAAGGTACAATAAGTTGTTATAGCACGGATGACTCTGTCCGAATTAAATGAGAACAAACTCAATTGCACGTGAATTGCTATACTCTCTCCAAATTCGTTCCTTCCAATCCATGCCGTCTCATGGTATCTTCATGCCGAGTGTTGTCCATTCCAACTTTGATACTTAGATCTCCCATCAGAATGATTAGGTGCTTCCCTGAGCACTTCGCTATGATCGATAGCAGCCTGGTCTTTATAGTCTTCGTTGCTATCATTAATGGGTGCATAACATAATGGGTGGATAACATTCATCGTGATTCCCTCCTTCTTCATTTTGAACGATGATTTGATTACCCTGGATCAATCGGATTCCCATCGTATAAGTGCATTAGATACTTCTTTGGACAACATCAGAGCAACTACTCGAGTGTGTGCAGCAGTTGCTTCTTCGTGACCAGAGTACAACGGCATCTCTCCCGAATCTATCTTTCTCTGTCGACCTTGAGTCCGATGTGTTTCACTGATACCGAGCACCGTCAAGTTGTAGCTCTTAATTCCCGTAGCTATTCGATTAGTCCTTCCGGTCTCCCACGTTATCCGGACATTCCGTGTATCTATACTAATTGTTTTTCTCATTGTTAGAAGGGGCACCGACCTCGTCAGTTTCGAAGTGTGTTGGCTTTCATCATGGCGCGTCATAATTCTTCTGAAGGATTGTTCAACTCGGAGGACCGATTTTAAATGGTTTGATTTGTTTATTCTAGTTAGCTTTTTCTAACTTGATTTTTTTCGACTAGTTGTGGTTGTTGATACCATACCGAACCCTCCTGCTTTTTGTGTGCTTGGGACCGGTAGTTGCCCTAGAAGAGCTACAGGTGGAGTTGGTTGTTCAAAATATATTGTAGAAATGTTTTTATTTTAATACTCTACAGAAATACTTTTAAAATGTTTGGAATTTTTTAATAGTCACGTAAAGTCAGTTCCTTTTCTGATTAGTAGAGTGATTGTCATCAGTGGTTCTTTTGTTCAAAAGAACAATCATTCATTTAATTATAATAGTAAAACTTATTTCTAGTAAATAAGCTAAATTGTTAATAAATTAATACTGAATTTTGATGGTTGGCATCATGGGTCACTTGAAGCTAGACAACCATGGAAAACCTGTAAACACTGAGCGACCGTTTCGTCCCATTTCGGAACTCCTCATCCGTGCGTATACACAATCCCGCCTAGCAGGATTCGAACCCACGACCTATCAGTCTTACGCGCGAGCGCTTAACCCCTAGACCACTGAGCCGGCCGGCATCCAACGGTGTTAATTTCTAACTTCAACTAATCCACGAAGTCGGGTGACACGTCCACGATTGTCTTAGTGAGTTACTGTCTAACAACAGACTCAGTTGAACTCCACTGGTCAGTACTTCTCACTTAAGCTCCAGTTTATACCTCTTGAAGCCAGTCACTAGTGAGCATATGTTGATTTGTATCAGAAGGGGGTTTTGTGGAGATTATAGCAATTTTAATGGTTAAGGTCATGAGTCAATTTCATGGTGGTCTAGCTTCAATTAACTCATGATCTCAACTATTGAAATTACTACAATCTCTACAAAACCCCTTCTGATGCTAATATTGAATTATTGTTTCGCAAAAGATTTTTAAATTTTGATTAATGTTACGATGAAATTTTTCAATGAAATTTTGTTACAATTGGAATGACTTTTTCATAATTCAGGTAGAGAGATCAAGGTCATTTATTATCTAAGTTTCTTTACTGTTATGTCAGAAGTTTTAGGAGATTGATAACGTTTTCATTTAAAATATAAATACGGAAATAATAGAATAAGAATATAGTAATCACTTAATAAAATGTATGTAAAATTAAAACTAGAACTAAGCTGAAGTTCCATAAGTAACTGATTATCAAAGTCAGTTACGTAACAATGAGTTTAGGAATTAAAATCGGATATAAATGTAGCTAATTTGTTATCTGTGAGATTAATAATAAGTAATTAGTAATTCTAAAGCAATCAAAACTAGATAACCATAGTATTAAAACACATTATGTAACATTAAAATTGTAAGCTAGAATTTAGCAAAATTTAAAAGTTTGTAAGATTTGGAAAGAAGTTGGAGAAACTTATCAATAACTTAGTAAAACATCATGGTGTATTAAGAGGTTGTACAAATGTTTTCCGTATACAAAGGCTAAGTTTATTTATATGTATTCCGATGGCTTCTGTTATAGTTAAGAGGCGGATTCTAGAAGCATGGGGTAAGCTTGATGATATTCTATAGGTAACCCTGAAAGCTTGACTGATGTCAAATAGACACACAAAATGAGAGCTTTCCGTCCTCTTTTCACCAACCATAAAACGTGATGCTCACAAATAAGATATATTTACCCGACTGTACACCTAGTATAACTGACTTCGCAAAAACAGTTAAAATGGTAAATACAAATGACGGTAGTAAAACTGGGAAATTTATCTTTTTTTATTGTACTCACTATTGGTTAGATTAAGAGAGAAGAGTACAATCTTTTCTCATTGAATGTACGGTCTACAGCTTTTCTTATACGCAGACTATACTACTCATTAAACATAATTTCGGGAACAAAGACTCTTAAAGGTACTGTTGGTGGTTTAGTTTCCAGATACATATTTTGTTTGGAACTCTGTTCGTAGTTTTCTAAATAAAACTAGATACCATTCAAACTTTGGTACCTTAAATGGATTCATCATCATTTAATTAGTAATCTAAAGCTTTTTGGGTAGATTTTACCGGTTGCTTGGAAATTATACCTCTAGAACCCCTGAGTTTTCGAGCTTTATCATTTGATATTTCGTACAATAGGTATACCCCAAATGGGATGTTATTTTCAGCCTCAGGTAATCGAGACTGAAACTAAAGAAGTCTAACCTAGTGAATAGAAAAATAAATGAAATCAGTCGAATTCCCTTTAATTTAATTCCTTTCATCTGATGTATTAATTATTCGGATTACTTTGATGATCACCTCATGATATTTGCCCCTAGAATACATGAAAACTCAATTATCATATTAGAGGTGGAGTTTATACTGTTCTTTAAATTGTGCATTCTACTTCATTGTTCCATGTTGGAATGAATTATAGTACAACCGGGACAACAAATATACATTGTTATAAGTAATTCTATCATCTGTGAAATTAACCGATTGCGACGAGAGATATTTCAATAAAATCACTATATAAACCATAAAACAGGCCTTAAGGCTTATAATTGTTTTCAGTAAAGACAATTAACAATAATAATAATAATAATAATAATAATAATAATAATAATAATAATAATAAACTCCAACTAATTTTTTAAATAAAATAATTTATGAAGTTTTATCCTTTTTTATTACTAATTTTAGTAGTAAATATCAAATAACATGTCTTATTAACCGGCTGAAATCGAACCATCAAAACTCTCATTTATCGATTTGTATTTATGATGTTGTATTTCACTTGTAACAAAGCTGCTTCAGTAATTTTACTAAAATCTATTATAATTTGATAAGTTAATTATTACTAAAGTAACTGTATTACATAAGCCTAGCAACATAATTTATTTACTAGTTTGGGAGTGAAATCAATATAAAGAATTAGTTTTGATTAAACAGAAATGTTAAGTTATTTAAGGTGTAAACGATACGATGAAGTCTTACGTCTACTGTTGACTTAAAATATCCAATAATTAGTAACTGTAAAGTACATAGACATTTGATACCACCTGGATTGAAGATGAACAGTTTCAGAGTGGTTTGTCAGATTTTTTGCTGTGAATTACAATGATTCGATAATTTAATCTTTTCCAATCAAAGTCAATCGCAAGAGGTAAGTTGTAGCTGTAAACTATTGGGACCTTCTTTCAATCATCCATACTCATTCTAGTTCGTTGCATTCGAAACTGAATTATCTACTCTTTCCCTTATAAAATATAATCCCACAACTTAATATTGCTGTCAGGATACCAACGGATGATGCAGATAATATTTGAAGATATCTACTGGATAGGTTTGTTATTTTTTGTCTTGTTTCTAAGGGATGGATTATGTAACTAAACAGTTGGACAACAATATATTATTTAGTTTCAAAGTTTAGTTTTTAAACGTTTCTCTGTAAAACAAACGTAATTTCCTACTTATTACCAGTGACAAGATCTTAGATTCACTAAATGGATATAACTTCATTAAACTACTTGGTTTCGTTCACTACTGAAACAGAATTAAATCCTACCAGCCGATCTCATTCCAATATTCTGTACTGAAAGGAATTTTATTTGAGACTGTAATGAATTATAAACCACAGATACTATCGCTGTTTAACTAGACCCATACAAGAAATAAATTAACGAGATTTCATGTAGTTATGATGTTGGAACTATTGATCAACTGAAATGATTCATTAAAAACCACGATGATCTTTCAGTTCCATCAATGATCACATAACAATACTCCACTGGTCGCTGCTCTTTAGAACTTTGGTAACCAGTTTTGAACCTTGTTATTAATGAACGTATTGAGTAAATTATTTATACTTCATAAAACACACGTAATTTATAATTTTCCATAAAATACGAATAAATATGATGACATAACGATAATTTTACCCAGTACCTCGTTGTTTGAAAATATTTTTCTAACAAAATTAAATTTCTAATTTTTATTAAAGTCTGGCACTACCATTACATGCAATAAATTCTTAATAATGTTTCAAAATCCTAAGTTTTAACATTCATATTCATAAACAAGTTGATAAAAAGTAAACCTATTAGGTAATTAGCGATGACTTACCATCAATCATGTAAACTCGATTTCCTCGAGCTAGTAGAGCAGAAATAAAATGCAATTCAGCTCGAACTTTTTTATCTTTAAGTGTTGAAGTGGATACAAAATCACTAAGTTGATCATAAACCACAATAGCAGGTTTAACCAGTGATATTTGTGAAATAAATGACACTGGAGATTCTCTATAAGGTGCAGGGCATCCATGTGTTTCTGTATACCAAATATCCCATGACTGGATAGCTCGTTTAGCCATAGTTTTTGTGTAACAGTTTGCTGAACGAGCCGTAAGTATATGACCAGATTGGTATAGCCTCGTCTCTCTCATATCAACAATGATTAGATGAGAATCAGAGGATAATTCTTTGGCTTTACGTAATCTAGAAAGTATGATTTCTGCTTTTATCATGCCACATGTATTGCTGATTTCATCATGGCTAAAGTTTTTAGATTTTTCAGGTCTCTCTATAACAATAACTTTTGAACTTGACATTTAGAGAAGTAATTCTAATATCACATATATAGTACATTAAGCCAATAACGATTTATTGTAAACATAATCCTACTTCAATATTTGAATTATAGAAACAATCTGGAAATTGTGCTTTTTTTGTAGAGAAAAAGATATTTCATAAATCATTTTAGGTTACCACAAATAACTTTCCATTGTGCTAACAAATCATGTTTCGTTTTTTAAAATTATTGGTTAACTAAAACACGATCGATTTTCATAGCATTCCGATTGGTTAAAGCTATTAACCAAATTTAATGACATGTAGAATTTAACTTACACGAATGGAAATAATGTCACACACACAAAGATAATGCACAGGGTACAATCATATTTGTGGATGTTATATATATATATATATATATATATATATATATATATATATATATATATATATATATATATATATATATATATATATATATATATATATTCTGAACATTTGACATTTTAATTCAAGTATCTGATATGATCAACTTGTAAATAATATAGAATATCCAGAACGAATTCAATCAAGAAATGTTCATTTGAAAGAAATTGATTGTCATGTGTATAGTCAAAATCATGATTTAAAACAAATAAATCATACAAACATAATCCATTGATAGTTGAAATGTTGTATTGGGTTAATCGAGATTATATTATTATTATTATTATTATTATTACTATCACTACCACTAATACTAATACTACTACTAAATGGAGTTTAAAATTAGCTGAATCATTTATAATAACAGTGAAAGTACAATAGTGGGTTCAAATAAATGGTCCTAATGCAATGAGAAGACGAAGATTATCAGAACTATGTGATATATTCAGTTTCACGCGTTCCGATACAATTTTACATTTAAGGTTGACAAGTTCATCTAACCTTTTGATAGTATGTGCAGGGAGTCTTCTTTTAAGAAATTTAAAACAATTAGTCCCATTGATAAATCACATAGTTCTGATAATCTTCGTCTTCTCATTGCATTATCGAAATTTATCAAAGGGACTAATTGTTTTAAATGGTCCTAAGCCAATACATCTGTAATGAATGCGAACATGGGTTAGGATAACCAATTTTATTTTAATATGAAATTACGGAGTATTTTGGTAAAATATAAGAACCATACATAAAATACTTCATTTGCAAATATTCCATCACTAGTCTCAAACTTCATCGTTCTTTCATTGCCACAACAATTAATCTCTGTTCTTGCCCTTTTTGATTCGATCTTCTCAACCTTCTGATGCTAGGCTGGCGACTGATGTTATGTACTACTTATGTTGATATAAGTAACATACACCTCATATCTTCAGCTATGTAAATTAACAGTCATAGTTGAAATAGCTCAACAAAAGAATTCACACATAAAAAGTTAAAAAAGAAGTAAACAAAAAATATTTAAATAATTTCATTATTAAAGTTTTTTACCATTCAAGGAAAGTTATAGAAAATTTGTACGAAATAAAACCATCGTTCAAAACTTATAAACTTTTCAAATGATCTGACTAGCATTTCTTGCTCACTTATTTTTGTAACAGTTTAGTAAGATGTTTATTCTTCATAATAAGTTGCTCATTTCATACTAGGAACATATGTGACCCTATTTTTGTATCTTTTTATACATACACATATACACAACCTACCTTCATTTAAAACCGTTGCGGTAAATCTAATAATCTAAACAATAATGGTAAGATTTATCGGACGATAGAACAACACCACAACCTGAATCCGACGATATTTGGTATATTATATGTGAAATAAGTAAACTATGACATAACTTTTACGGATTGAAATCATGAGTCATTCGAAGCTAGACCACCATGAAAAACCTGGAAGTATTGGACGACCGTTTCTTCCTAGTATGCGACTCCTCAGCAGTGCGCATCCACGATCCCGCACCACGCGGAGCTCGAACCCAGGACCTATAAACCTCGCCCCAGGCACTCAATCAATTAGACCACCATGCTGGCATCCAATGATGTTAATGTCTAACTTCAGCCTATCCACGAAGTTGCGCCACCGTACACCATTGTCTTCAGTGAGCTGATATCTCACAACAGACCTGGTTGAACTCCACTGGTAACGGCTTCTCACTAGAACTCCAGGCGCGAGACTGATAGGTCCTGGGTTCAAATCCCGTGGAGTGCGGGATCGTGGATGCACACTGCTGAGGAGTTGCATACTAGGACGAAACGGCCTTCCAGTGCTTCCAGGTTTTCCATGGTGGTCTAGCTTCAATTGACTCATGATTTTAATCTGTGAAATTTCTAAAATCTCCACAAACCCCTTCTGAAAATAATTTTTACATAAAAAGCTTTAAGAAAACTTCACTTAAGAAATGTGACCAATGGAATGACTTACGAAAATCAGGGATTATTGTAGATATCATCAAATCTGGAACCTTAGTCCATCACAGTAAAGCCTATCGAGAATAACTATGCAGCGCTGCGAATTGTATCCTTTTACACTAATCAGAATAAAAGGAAATTATTTGGATAATAAAGCCTTTACTCAAACTATCGGTACTAACAATAATTAACAACATCAATACTGAGCGAGAGAGTAAGTCACGGAACAGACAGTCTAAAACAATATGCTATTTCAGTTGTTTGATAGGCTACAGTCAGGAAGTTTCCGCTGTCGACCCAAATATAAATGATTCCGTCAGGTAATATCATTTCATAGTTTGATCTGCTGGCAATCATAGCATATTCTGTTTATCTTTGTTCAATAAGTTTGATATAATCACATTAATTTTTATATAAAAACTTGAATATATATTCACCAGAGTGACACATTGTTATGAAATGTAAGTTTCAACGTTTATTTTCAAAGAGGGGTAACTAAAGTCACCAATAAAAGGTAGGATAATGAAAGTAATTGACTTAGTATTAACCAATGGATGAAATTTTCATAGTTGAACTTCCCGATAAACATTTTCAGTAAGTTACTTTTTTTAGTAACCCACTGTACAAATATAATTTATAAATAAATTAGACAAAATAAATTGTAGGCAATGAAATGACTTACGAATCTTCTAACACTTAAACGTTTTATTATTATTATTATTATTATTATTATTATTATTATTATTATTATTATTAATGTGAAAACCTTTCATTGTTTCCTTAAATTAGTATCAAACTGACAAAAGTGGAAATTATCAGTTAAGAAAGTTTATTTTCAGAATGGGTTTTGTGGAGAGTTTAAGAAATTTCACAGGTTGAAATCATGAGTAAGTTGAAGCTAGACCACCATTGAAAACCTGGAAGCACTGGACGGCCGTTTCGTCCTGGTATGGGACTCCTCAGCAGTGCGCATCCACGATCCCGCACCACGCGGGGCTCGAACCCAGGACCTACTGACTCATGATTTCAACCTGTGAAAGTTTATTTGATTAACTGAGTTAATGCACAATGAAATGAATTCATTTAATTAAAGCAAAATAAAGAGAATTTAACAGAGAAAATCTTCTATTCGACTAAATTAATACACGAATTTTCATAGTTCGATCCCATTGTAGAGAAAGAGAAACCTGATTCACTCCCTGAGGGCTAGATCAGCATGTTCTCATGACACAATAAAACACGAATTACCTCAACCTCGATAAATACTTACCAGAAATGGCTATCCATGTAAATTTATCGTTACAAAATTGAAACCTAGACAACAACCTGAAAGATGATTCGCAATTTGTCTGAATGTAGAAGTTAGAGGCGATGCGGTTGCATGGGTGGGTAATTTTTGTTTTGATAAATCTAATTCCCTTCAGCTATAAAGCAATAGATATATATCAAAGGAAACAAGATTATTTAAAAGAAATTTTTGTTATATCTTCATTCACACATCATTTTGATTCATATAGTTATTGATGCTACGAAGAGTTGATACTCTTTGTGAGTGACAGGTTTAAATCTGGTGACTAATATCAGCTCCATAATGATTATGGATAGGGCTCTGCTACGAGTAACAACTAACACGGAAACTAGGTCAAGCGCTTCATACCGTTTGCTACTAGCTACCTAACACGTAAACATAATCCGAATAATGAAGTCTATTAGATTAGTGAGCTACATTTTTTTAAAATTTGATCGATCATAAAGACTAAAGTAACATAACATTGGTTATCAATCAGTAAGCAGTCGCTGTAAACACCTAGTGAATCACCAGACTACTAAAAATAGAAATAAAATAAAATTAGACGAAAACATTTTGCTACAAAGGAATATAAAATAAATAGCTAAATTATTACTTTTTGTTTATGTGAAACTGAATTGTGTCTCGGAGGTATGATTATGTGACATGTTAACTAAATAACGTTTTTTGAAATAATCTTATATAGCTCCAACTTTGTATCAATCCGAATTTCCAAACGGCGATCTGCATGCAATTTCTTCGTTTTATCCGGTTCTACTTCCTTTTAAAAACAACGGTCATTTAAAACAACTCAGACAATCATGTGAAAACTCCTCGATTTTCGCCGAACAAAGAATTACAGCAAATGCTTTGCTCTCATTCTTAGTTATATGAAAATTGAATGTTTACAAGTAAATGACACAATCAAGTCCCCGAAATCTTATATGTATCTTTGTATAATTCATATCTGTTAAATATTTAGTGGAGAGTTTCCATCCAGCCTTCATTTAGCTGGTCACGAAATGTAAGATCTTGCAAACATGGTTTAAAACATTCTTTACAACTCTGTTAGTACAACTAAATTTTCTTTTAGTTGATAGACTATCTGCACATCATTCTTACAGACAAGATAAAATAATGACATATACCACCTTTGTGGTTTAAACCTAGTAACCAGTACAGTTTACTGTCAGAGTGAGCACTGAAACTCTATAAAATCATTGCCACTATGACAATTTACTTTTTGAAAACAAACGACCCACTTTTTCAGAATATGTACAAGAACATATTGATTTATAGACAGTTTGATATTTAGCATTCCATGTTTATTTTTGATAACAAATATCGGATCGAA